TGTACCCTCTCTAACCCCCTTCTATTACTACCTTGCACAGCGGTTGGTGGGTGCGGTGTGTCTGGACAGGGGGTGGCAAGTCATCGGCTTGGAAGCTTAGGCAGTTCTGCTCTCTGTCTGGGCTTGCCATGCTTTCTGCCTGCCAGCTGCTGTAGGGATGAAAGCTGAGGCGGAGGATGGAGATTTTTAGACTGCTGGGAGGCGGAGCCACGACTCAGAGAGAACAGTCATTTGGTCAAGGTCCGGACCGCGGTCTGCCATTTAGTGATGCCTGCCATAGAAGCAGCTAAAAATCTATAAACACTGCCATCTACTGGTTGAAGAATATATCTCTATTGAATACTATGTAGTTGTTGCACAAAATACATAAACACTGTATTCCAACAGTTCAGATATATCCAAAATCATTATAAAGATCTTGCAAATTAATTTTTGTAGAACAAGAGGACTCTGGTAGCATACGGAGGAAATACATTGATCATCCATAACATTGATTATCTTGTTGCAACAGCATCTGAAAGTCAGTGGGATATATTAAGCTGCAAGTGAACATGTCCCCAATGTTGATGTGTTGAAAGCAGAAAAAAACAGGCAAGCATAAAGATTTGAGCAACTTTGATCAGAGCCAAACCATATCAGCTGGAGGACTGGGTCAGACCAGCTTCATGCCTCATGTACATTGGACATTTCTGCAGCTGCTTCTAGCAGAATCAGATGGTTTCTTTTTTTTTTTTTCTTTTTCCTGCCTCTAAACTCCCCTGCATGTTAGTCTATGTGTCCATGCACACATAGGATTTTAGCAGCGTTTAGTGGCAGGGCTTTCAGAGGCAGTAAAAAAGCCCCCACTGCCAGAGCGTCCTGGAGCAACAGAGTTTTGACAGAAAAAATGCCTGGCACTGCTAAACCCTGTCTAAACGCATCTAAACGCTAGGTGCAGTTAGCACTTGAGGGTTTATTCACTTTAATGAGTCCACACTCTTGATGCCTATAAATGTGTGCCTAAAAGCTTGTAAAAGCTTTAGAAACTTTTACAGGCATCAGGCTCTTTTTCTGCTAAAACGCTGCTGCCAGGAGAAAAGACTTCTAGGAGAGTTTGCAAAATGTTCTGTTCGCAGGAGGCCTGCAGCTCCTGTGGGATGTTTCTGGACTGTGGTGGACAAGACCCACCAAAAGGAAGGACAGGGTCATGGGTGGCCAAGGCTTACTGATGCACATGGGGTGTGAAGGCTGGCCTGTAAAGTCTGATCCAATAGAAAAGATACTGTAGCTAAAATTGCTGAAAAAAATTCATGCTGGTTGTGAAAGAAAGGTGTCAGAACACGCAGTACATTGCAGTTTGTTGTGTATGGGGCTGCGTAGCCACACACCAGCCATGGTGCCCATGCTGACCCATGTCCAAAGCCAAGACCATCTGTAATGGACACATGAGCATCAGAACTGGACCACAGAGCAATGGAAGGAGGAGTTGTTGGCCGGGTCTGATGAATTCAAGAATGGTATGAGGAACACAAAAACAAGTTTGAGGTGTTGGCTTGGCCTCCAAATTTTCCATATCTCAATCCATCTGAGCATCTGTGAGATATCCTGGAAAAACAAGTCTGGTTCATAAAGGGACCACTTTGTGACTTACAGGGCCTTAAAGATCTGCTACTGACAGCTTGGTGCCAGAGGTCTAGTAGAGTGCATACCATGACAGGTTATGGTGGGTGGTCATAATGTTATCGCTGATGGGTGTAAGAATTTTTATCAGTTTAGGAAGGGATTCTTTAGTGTAAGAATGGTTCTAGAATGCTTTACTGCAGGAGGTAGTAATTGCTAAAACAATAGTGAGATGTAAGGTGCATTAAACCCTAACAATGAACTTCTCCTATTTAATCTTCTGCTCTGTTTAATATGCTGTTTAAAAATGTTGTTATACTTGTCTGATAAATGCAAAAAAAAAGTTGATCTTGCCAGAAATTCAGAGATGTCCTATGTCCTCTGTCCATGTTATCTAAAAAAAACAAAACAAAAAAAAAACACCCTCCAACAGATCTGAGACTGGGACTGGTTGAGTAGTCTAGCAAGTAAAAGTAGGAATGGCGGACACCGCTCAGTCCACAAAAATGTGTTGTTGGCCCACTACAGAGCTTAGGGCTGCATTTCTGGAAGATCAAAGTGTATTTTTTTTTGGTTTGTACAAATTTTTAAAATGAGTAAAACATTGAAGAAATGTACATGCATTGCAGATTTATACTGGGGGAGATTTACTAATACTGGAGAGTGCAAAATCTGGTGCAGCTCTGCGTAGAAACCAATCAGCTTCCAGGTTTTACGGTTAAATCTTAATTGAACAAGCTGAAGTTACAAGCTGATTGGCTACCATGTACAGCTGCACCAGAATCTGAGTGCATCAGTTTTCCATCAATCTTCCCATTTTGTGTGTGTATATATATATATAATATATATATATATATATAAATATATACAGTGGGGATCGAAAGTTTGGGCACCCCAGCTAAAAATTTGTATTAATGTGCATAAAGAAGCCAAGGAAAGATGGAAAAATCTCCAAAAGGCATCAAATTACAGATTAGACATTCTTATAATATGTCAACAAAAGTTAGATATTGACATCTGAAAACACTTTGCTATCTTCTTATAGCCTTCTCCAGCTTTGTGAGCGTCAACTATTTTCAGTTTCAGTTTCTAGACAACTGCTTAGAAGAACCCATGGTGCTGATTGTTGGGGCAAGGTCAGATGAGTCTGGGCATTTAAAACCTTTGAGATTGACATCACCTGGTCTTCCCAGATGATGATTGAGAACAATCCATGACACTGGCAGGTCTCAGCTTTGCAAAGGGGGCAGTGCATGCTATAAATTCTGCAGGGTGCCCAAACTTTTGCAGACGCCATTTTTTTTGTTTTCTGTTATTTTGAAAGTGTAAATGATGGAAATAAAATCTAACTTTTGTTGACATATAAGAATGTCTAATCTGTAATTTGATGCCTTTTGGAGATTTTTCCATCTTTCCTTGGCTTCTTTATGCACATTAATACGATTTTTTAGCTGGGGTGCCCAAACTTTCAATCCCCACTGTGTGTGTGTATATACAGTCAGGTCCATAAATATTGGGACATTGACACAATTCTAACATTTTTGGCTCTATACACCACCACAATGGATTGAAATGAAACGAACAAGATGTGCTTTAACTGCAGACTGTCAGCTTTAATTTGAGGGTATTTACATCCAAATCAGGTGAACGGTGTAGGAATTACAACAGTTCGTATATGTGCCTCCCACTTGTTAAGGGACCAAAAGTAATGGGACAATTGGCTTCTCAGCTGTTCCATAGCCAGGTGTGTGTTATTCCCTCATTATCCCAATTACAATGAGCAGATAAAAGGTCCAGAGTTCATTTCAAGTGTGCTTTTTGCATTTGGAATCTGTTGCTGTCAACTCTCAAGATGAGATCCAAAGAGCTGTCACTATCTGTCAGGAATGGACTGGCCAGCTATGGTGGGACTCACCTGCCTTTTGATCTGCAGTACTAGGGCTGGCCAGCGGGTGTTCCCAGCAATCAGAGACTCAACTTTGCAGCCAGCTAACACCTGTAACTGATTATGCTGGGGTATTTAAGGGATGGCCAGACCCACAGACTCTGCCTTGGTGTGTGTTTGTCCTGGGCCCTGTATCCTGTTTCTGTCCTGCATCCTGTTTCTGAACTGCTGCTGACTTCTCCTGCTCTGATCCCGGCTCGCTCCTGACCATCCCTCTGTCTGACCCTCTGTACCACGCTGCTTGCTACCTGTTCTGATCCCTGGCTTGTGACCCTGACCAATCTCCGCTTGCTCCCCCTGTACCTACCTGCCCTATTGATATTGACCCGGCCTGCCTGACGACGCTTGCTTGTATGTACTGTTATCTGTGGGTGGTTTGGTTTGTTTGCACTGTATTATGTTTTAGTATTGCACTGCGTTTATGTTTGTATTGTTAGTGTTAATAAATTATATTGTTTATTACATATCTGAGGTCTGCGTTTCCCTGCGTCAGTCACACATCTCTGGTCACACCTGGGAGCCCTGACATTACACCAAGGCCAATCCTGACCAGAAGTGGCTGCACAGGGAAGCCATCTTGGCTTGTTGATGGGAAGGATGGATCTGGATGAGGTTGAGTATTTATCTCTGCTAGTGCTTGATGACAGAGAGTATGCTTATCAGACTCTGAAGGAGTATCCCCGGGATGAACTGCTAGAATGTATCCGGCTCGCTCATGTTCTAGTAGATCAGGGCACAGATTTCTCTATGGTGCAGCCATTGATTCAGGTTTGTGTTGAGTTGGTTTCATCTGGTCCCCCGAATGCAGGGATGAATTTTTGCCACCATTTAGTGCAGACCAGGTTGAGTCCCTGGTGTGGTTATTAGAGGATGATGTGGGTTACTTTCTGGAGCGTTATTCCACATGTTCACCACAGACACTAAGAGATTGTATAAACGCAGTGCAGTCATTGACCAGACAGGCTTTGTGTAAGCTCAGCTTTGTTCAACCCATACTGCAGACATGGACAGACTTGTTGCACCCAGCCTCAGTCAGCTTACAAAGACCCAGTCCTGCTTCTAACTCTACTCCTGTATTCCCACCAGCTCCTCCAGTTACAGCCCAGTATACTTGGCTATCTACCGCATGTCAGTACCCTGTTCCCACTCGCTGCACCTATCCTGCCTTTAACCCTGTAAAAAAGCCCTCTGTAGCAACTGCTCCCTCTCCTGTTCCATCCTCCAGTTTTTCTCTGTCTCCAGCTGCTCCATTCGTTTGCAGACCTGCGTTTACTTGCAGTGCTCCAGTAGTTAAAACCAGAAAAAAGCGAAAATTCTTTCCAACCAATACCATCCTGCCAGTATCCAAACCGGTGAACCTGCCTTCCGTGACTCAGCCTGAAGCCTCTACTCAGCCGGATGCCTCTCTTCAGCTTCGCCGGATGCCTCTCTTCAGCCGGATGCCTCTCTTCAGCCGGATGCCTCTCCTCAGCCTGAGGCCTCTCCTCAGCCTGAGGCCTCTCCTCAGCCTGAGGCCTCTCCTCAGCCGGATGCCTCTCCTCAGCCGGATGCCTCTCCTCAGCCGGATGCCTCTCCTCAGCCGGATGCCTCTCCTCAGCCGGATGCCTCTCCTCAGCCGGATGCCTCTCCTCAGCCGGATGCCTCTCCTCAGCCGGATGCCTCTCCTCAGCCGGATGCCTCTCCTCAGCCTGATGCCGCTACTCAGCATGATGAACTGATCCAGCCCGACGATCCTATTAGGCCAGTTGACTCGATGCCCGCTCTTGATCCAGATGATCCGGTACCTGATCCAGTGCCCGCTGTCGTGCCAATTGACTCAGAGCCCGCTGTCATACCTGGTGACCCGGTGCCCACTGCCTTGCCAGATGACGCGGTGCCCGCTGGCAAGCCAAATGACCTGATGCCTGGTGACCCAGTGCCCGCTGTCATACCTGGTGACCGATGCCCGCTGTCGAGCCAGACAATCCGATACCTGATGACCCGGTGCCCACTGTCGTGCCTGTTGACTCGGTGCCCGCTGTTCTGCCAGACGACTCGGTGCCCGCTGTTCTGCCAGACGACTCGGTGCCCGCAGTCTGTTCTGCCAGACGACTCGGTGCCCGCAGTCTTGCCAGACGACTCGGTGCCCGCAGTCTTGCCAGACGACTCGGTGCCCGCAGTCTTGCCAGACGACTCGGTGCCCGCAGCCTTGCCAGACGACTCGGTGCCCGCAGCCTTGCCAGACGACTCGGTGCCCGCAGCCTTGCCCCAGACAGACTCGGTGCCCGCAGCCTTGCCCCAGACGACTCGGTGCCCGCAGCCTTGCCAGACGACTCGGTGCCCGCAGCCTTGCCAGACGACTTGCCAGACGACTCGGTGCCCGCAGCCTTGCCAGACGACTCGGTGCCCGCAGCCTTGCCAGACGACTCGGTGCCCGCAGCCTTGCCAGACGACTCGGTGCCCGCAGCCTTGCCAGACGACTCGGTGCCCGCAGCCTTGCCAGACGACTCGGTGCCCGCAGCCTTGCCAGACGACTCGGTGCCCGCAGCCAGTCTTGCCAGACGACTCGGTGCCCGCAGCCTTGCCAGACGACTCGGTGCCCGCAGCCTTGCCAGACGACTCGGTGCCCGCAGCCTTGCCAGACGACTCGGTGCCCGCAGTTCCGCCAGTTGACTCGGTGCCCGCAGTTCCGCCAGTTGACTCGGTGCCCGCAGTCTTGCCAGACGACTCGGTGCCCGCAGTCTTGCCAGACGACTCGGTGCCCACTGTCGTGCCTGGTGACTCGGTGCCTGCCGCTTCGTCTGGGGGCCCGAGACCTGTTGCTCCGCCTGAGGGCCCGAGACCTGTCGCTCCATCTGGGGGTCCGGTGCCCGCCGCTCCGCCTGAGGGCCCTGAGACCTGTAGCTCCGCCTGGGGGTCCGGCGCCCGCCGCTCCGCCTGGGGGTCCGGGGCGCCCGCCGCTCCGCATGGGGGTCCGGCGCCCGCCGCTCCGCATGGGGGTCCGGCGCCCGCCGCTCCGCATGGGGGTCCGGCGCCCGCCGCTCCGCATGGGGGTCCGGCGCCCGCCGCTCCGCCTGGGGGCCCGATGCCTGTCGCCCCGCCTGGGGGCCCGATGCCTGTCGCCCCGCCTGGGGGCCCGAGGCCTGTCGCCCCGCCTGGGGGCCCGAGGCCTGTCGCCCCGCCTGGGGGCCCGATGCCTGTCGCCCCGCCTGGGGGCCCGATGCCTGTCGCCCCGCCTGGGGGTCCGATGCCTGTCGCCCCGCCTGAGGGCCCCAGGCCTGTAGTTCCGCCTGAGGGTCCGGCGCCCGCCCCCCGCCTGGTGGCCCGCTGCCTGCTGCTTCGCCTGGTAGCCCGATGTGCCTCTGCCCGGGGTCCTGCCCGATGTGCCTCTGCCCGGAGTCCTGCCCGATGTGCCTCTGCCCGGAGTCCTGCCCGATGTGCCTCTGCCCGGAGTCCTGCCCGATGTGCCTCTGCCCGGAGTCCTGCCCGATGTGCCTCTGCCCGGAGTCCTGCCCGATGTGCCTCTGCCCGGAGTCCTGCCCGATGTGCCTCTGCCCGGAGTCCTGCCCGATGTGCCTCTGCCCGGAGTGCCTGCCCGATGTGCCTCTGCCCGGAGTGCCTCTGCCCGATGTGCCTCTGCCCGAGTGCCTCTGCCCGATGTGCCTCTGCCCGGAGTCCAGCCCGGTGTGTGCCTCTGCCCGGAGTCCAGCCCGGTGTGCCTCTGCCCGGAGTCCAGCCCGGTGTGCCTCTGCCCGGAGTCCAGCCCGGTGTGCCTCTGCCCGGAGTCCAGCCCGGTGTGCCTCTGCCCGGTGTGCCTCTGCCCGGTGTGCCTCTGCCCGGTGTGCCTCTGCCCGGTGTGCCTCTGCCCGGTGTGCCTCTGCCCGGAGTCCAGCCCGATGTGCCTCTGCCCGGAGTCCAGCCCGATGTACCGCTGCCCGGAGTCCTGCCCGGTGTGCCAGTCTTTGATATCCCGCCAGTTACCAGACCCGGGCGGTGGAACATTTTTCCCAGCTAGGACTGTTTGGAGCGTCCTGAGGCCGCTCCTTGAGGGGGGGGTACTGTCAGGAATGGACTGGCCAGCTATGGTGGGACTCACCTGCCTTTTGATCTGCAGTACTAGGGCTGGCCAGCGGGTGTTCCCAGCAATCAGAGACTCAACTTTGCAGCCAGCTAACACCTGTAACTGATTATGCTGGGGTATTTAAGGGATGGCCAGACCCACAGACTCTGCCTTGGTGTGTGTTTGTCCCTGGGCCCTGTATCCTGTTTCTGTCCTGCATCCTGTTTCTGAACCGCTGCTGACTTCTCCTGCTCTGATCCCGGCTCGCTCCTGACCATCCCTCTGTCTGACCCTCTGTACCACGCTGCTTGCTACCTGTTCTGATCCCTGGCTTGTGACCCTGACCAATCTCCGCTTGCTCCCCCTGTACCTACCTGCCCTATTGATATTGACCCGGCCTGCCTGACGACGCTTGCTTGTATGTACTGTTATCTGTGGGTGGTTTGGTTTGGTTTGTTTGCACTGTATTATGTTTTAGTATTGCACTGCGTTTATGTTTGTATTGTTAGTGTTAATAAATTATATTGTTTATAACATATCTGAGGTCTGCGTTTCCCTGCGTCAGTCACACATCTCTGGTCACACCTGGGAGCCCTGACACTATCAGTGAAGCCATCATTAGGCTGAAACAACAAAACAAACCCATCAGACAGATAGCAAAAACATTAGGCATGGCCAAAACAACTGTTTGGAACATTCTTAAAAAGAAGGAACACACCGGTGAGCTCAGCAACACCAAAAGACCCGGAAGACCACGGAAAACAACTGTGGTGGATGAGCGAATAATTCTTTTCCTGGTGAAGAAAACACCCTTCACAACAGTTGGCCAGATCAAGAACACTCTCCAGGAGGTAGGTGTATGTGTGTCAAAGTCAACAATCAAGAGAAGACTTCACCAGAGTGAATACAGAGGGTTCACCACAAGATGGAAACCATTGGTGAGACTCAAAAACAGGAAGGCCAGATTAGAGTTTGCCAAACGACATGTAAAAAAGCCTTCACAGTTCTGGAACAACATCCTATGGACAGATGAGACCGAGATCAACTTGTACCAGAGTGATGGGAAGAGAAGAGTATGGAGAAGGAAAGGAACTGCTCATGATCCTAAGCATACCACCTCATCAGTGAAGCATGGTGGTGGTAGTGTCATGGCGTGGGCATGTATGGCTGCCAATGGAACTGCTTCTCTTGTATTTATTGATGATGTGACTGCTGACAGAAGCAGCCGGATGAATTGTGAAGTGTTTCGGGAATATTATCTGCTCATATTCAGCCAAATGCTTTACAACTCATTGGACGCTTCACAGTGCAGATGGACAATGACCCAAAGCAGACTGCAAAAGCAGCCAAAGAAGTGGAATGTTCTGCAACGACCAAGTCAATCACCTGACCTGAATCTGATTGAGCATGCATTTCACTTGCTGAAGACAAAACTGAAGGGAAAATGCCCCAAGAACAAGCAGGAACTGAAGACAGTTGCAGTAGAGGCCTGGCAGAGCATCACCAGGGATGAAACCCAGCGTCTGGTGATGTCTATGCGTTCCACACTTCAGGCTGTCATTGACTGCAAAGGATTTGCAACCAAGTATTAAAAAGTGAAAGTTTGATTTATGATTATTATTCTGTCCCATTACTTTTGGTCCTTTAGCAAGTGGGAGGCACATAGGCAAACTGTTGTCATTCCTACACCGTTCACCTGATTTGGATGTAAATACCCTAAAATTAAAGCTGACAGTCTGCAGTTAAAGCACATCTTGTTCGTTTCATTTCCAATCCATTGTGGTGGTGTATAGAGCCAAAAATGTTAGAATTGTGTCCATGTCCCAATATTTATGGGCCTGACTGTATATATATATATATATATATATATATATATATATATATATATACACACACAATGGAGAGATTGATGGAAAACTGATGCACTCAGTGCATTCGGATTATGGTGCTGACGTGCATGGTGGCCAATCAGCTTCTAACTTCAGCTTGTTCAATTAAGCTTTGACAGTAAAACCTGGAAGCTGATTGGTTTCTACGCAGAGCTGCACCAGATTTTGCACTCTCCAGCACTAGTAAATCTCCCCCAGTATATATCTGCAATGCATGTACATTTCCTCAACGTTTTACCCCTTTCAAGAATCTGCACAAACCAAAAGAAAATTACCTTGACATACACTTTTAAAAAAGGGCTTTTTTGCAGCTAACAATATCCAGAATTATGGTTGCAAACGGTTAAGGGAACAGTATTTAGTCTAGGGAATTGAGCTGATTGCCCTTGTTATTTCTTTACTATTTCTATATAATTTTGTTTTACAAATAATCCTTTAATACATGATAAATGATTCCCAGAGCACTATGAATGCACAGATGTTTCCTGCCTCAAGGCTGGCTTTGTCTGACTGATACCTCAGATGAGTTGAACTTGCTTTTTACAACTGAAGGTGGAGGTGTGTGTGCGTGCGTGTATATATTGTGTGTATGTGTGTGTATATCTGTATATATATATATATATTTTTTTTTTTACTCTGAATATTAATTTAAATATTTTTGTATAGTTCCGACAATAATAAACTATATACAAACACTAAAACACAATACTTCTATATGAATGCACTTTTTTTAATGTTTGATTGGAGTGCAGTTTTGTATGTCTGTGCTGATTAGCAGAGCATCAACGCTCTTTCAGCATTACCTATAATGCTACCACCTCCCTCTCACTCCCCCTCTCTGTTGGGGTCCCTCAAGGCTCTGTCCTCGGGCCCCTTCTTTTCTCCAGCTACACCTCCTCCCTTGGCCAACTCATACACTCTCATGGCTTCAACTATCACCTCTATGCCGACGACACACAAATCTATCTCTCAACCCCCTCCTCACCCCCTCGGTCTCCGCCCGAATCACACATCTACTGAGCGACATATCAGACTGGATGTCGCTCCACTTCCTTAAACTGAACCTTTCCAAAACCGAGTTTCTTGTCTTCACCCCAGCCCGGACCCCCACCCCCCATT